TGTATGTTATATTTCTGTTACTATTTAGATACTAATTGCATTGACAAGAGCTTTAAATTAAACAATAAAAGTAAAAATGTTTGAAAAAAAGGATTTGCAGTAATTTTCTATATTTTATTGGAGTTCTTCCAAATTAATTCATTTTAAATAAATGTCATAAATTCATGCAATGATATTCAGAATATTTTTTTTAATTTAATTATATTATGGTGTAACTTTATTGTTAAAAAGTATTGCTCCTTTGAATTGAATCAATTTGGCTTAAGAGTGAATCAATTTTTTTGAACTGCCACCAGGTCATACCCAATTGCAGTTCTAATAAATGTAATTAGCTTCTTGTACTGATTGTGCCTGCAATACACTTACCGTTGAGATTGAAAGATATGCAAGTTTACTGCCTTTTTGTGTATTTCAAACATCAGTAGGTTCAATCAACTTAAATTTACTTTTTCAAAATCTATATACTCAATAGAGACCAGTGAAAAATTAATCAAAACTATTAAAATCCTTTTTGACACTGCAATGAAACAAATGAGGTTTGATCATGTTATTAGGAATAAAATTGATAAACTTGAGGAATTTTTCATTCAGAGAAAACAGGTTAACAGGCCTAATTATTGATAAAAATGTAGTTGTATTAACAAAACTATATGCTAATGGCATAATAATTGTGGGGAACTCTCCAGTAAATTTGAAAAGTAAACTCAAGTTTTCTTCTCTAGCCGCACTCCATCTCTACGCCCCTCTCATCTTCACCCTTGGCATATCAAATGATCAATGAACACTTGTATCTCTTGCATTTTATTGCAAATAATAATAATAATAATAATAATAATAATAATAATATCAATGCTACAAACTAGAGTAGCATTTTGATGAGGTGTTAGATTCAAAGATACTTCTACAAAAAACCTGCATAGATATTGAACCTGAATGATTATATAATTCTTTTCTCTTATTCAACTTCAAATTTGGCAGCAGTAAGGAACACACTAAGTAAATCGAGAATAGTCTTCTAATGTTTTGTGTATAAAAGTGAAAATTAAATCTTACACATGGAAAAGCAACTAAAAATTATATGAAAGTGTGGGTTCTTCAGCCTTGTTACATAATGTTTCCATTTGGGAGCTCAAATGTGTTTAAGTTAAAAAACAAAGTAAGAACTGGCTTCTTCAGACATTTATTTTCACCTCACTCACTCATTGGATATCTCCTGTGATTAGTTATGATATTCTCCAAATAGCTGTGAAAATATAAATATTTCTAATGATTTATTCAGGCATTTATTTTATTAAAATTATTTATTATTATTGTTATTATTTAAAATAAGCAGACAAAAAGACACTTATTGTGACTAAACTATGAGTACAAACATGTTCATTTAGACAATGAAAAATCACCAATTAAAAGGAATAATTGTAGGAAGTTAACAATTCAAATTATTAACATTGGGAACAAAACAATATTTATGAAAAACATTACGGTACTTGAGTTTTTCTATTTGCAAAGGGTGAGCAATATTCAGGGAATAAGCACTATTAATTTCTTACAAGTTCTGTTTGCTATTCGTGCAAATTGTTTCAAATCAACAGAAAATGGTTTTTCTGGAATGTAAATTGTACATTTTTAAATAACGATTCCATAAAACTAATAATTTTATGTATTTGTATATATTAGTAAGTTCCATTAGCTATATTAGCCTCTAAATTATCAAAGCATTGAAAAGAGAGAGAAAAAAAATGATGAACTCAATTTTTTACCGAAGTTTTTTATGTCTGCAATATATGGTCATCAATGAATGCATATACTCGCAGACTAAGTGTATCCTAACATCAATAATGATAAAATATAATTTATCCTTACAATTTTCTTTTCAAAGCAAAGATTTTTCACGTAAATTGATCTGCCCAGAATTTATTGATGTGATATTTAGTATTCACTTGGAATGAACAAGAAATCACGAAAATAACCTCTGTGAGCAACTCATGAATAAAATTGTACTCCTGAGTCTTCATAAAATCTACCAATTACCTAATGTTAATAAATATTAGATGTTGTGAAGGATTGACTACTGATTAACTTCTACTCTTTCAGTCTATTGTTCTTTAAAGAACATCACTTACCATAGCGTATCTTTATGATGTTTTCAATCATATATTATCAAGTATGAATACAAGAACTGAAAAGTCGAAGATATAACTTTTATGTACAATGGCCTTTATACAACTACCAACTAATCACAATATTGTAAGTTTCAGTCAAGAAGCACGAAACACCACTTTCAAAATTTTCGACAATTACTTCCAGTAACAAATTAATTAGGTTGGAAAGCTTTATTGCTGTAAAATATACTTTGCCCAAACACCGTAATGGTACTGAACACTGTAAAAATTACACATGTTCACACTGGGTATTTTCTAAAACTTACCTAATGTCAAAAGAGGTTATGATTAAATCTACACAAGGGCCCAACAAAACCAAAATTTAACAGTAGCAACTCCTCAAATCACATGCAAGTGCCTCTCCGTGAAAAACTAACTTAAGAGAAAACAATACAAAACAAATTTCAAATCTTTAAATTTCAATATTGGTTTAGACCTCATATACTTTTGAAACTTTAGGTTCAGAAAACTACTTCAGGTTTTGTAAATTACCTATGTGCATATTAACTTCCAAATTAATTAATTTCTACAGATTCAAAATCCTAATCTTAAGCCATTTCTGAAATGATTCGTATAAAATTGAAGTCCATAATTTTATAGCCTACTTTTTCAATTCTGAACTTCTTTCCCAAAGCCTGAGAGTTCCACTTGGGAATTATACATAGCCAAATTACCTATTTATAACATACAAAATAGGTTTGGATCCAAAGGACATAAGTTTTCTCCAGAATTTTTTATCCTCTATAAACTGAATGGTTACTTCAATAGAATAAGCACTTAAGATGTAAATGTGGTCCTAAACCGTTAGTTTCCCCGTTTGTCAAAAGTTATGTCTCGAACAAATGTGAACTATTAATGACAACACTTGGATGAAAATTTACATTTTCATTCAATGAAATACCATTGTTCCAGAACATTTTGCCTATCTCGGTGTAAGCTTTAAATTAATTTACTTTAGCTCCAAATTGGTTTTCTACTTGCATGCATTATGATATGAAACTATCTACCACTCTAACAATGATTAACTAAATTTAATTTTAATGCAGGAACACTTCAGATTGAATGGAACATGTTAAAGAAGTAAAACACAATGAGAAAAAACTTGAAGGCAATAATATGAAAAAAAGTTCTTATAAAGCATACGCTACTCTCATATCAGTGTCCTTTGTATTCCTGTTTTGTTGAATCACTAGGATGAGATTTATGCAGTAATAATCTACGAAATGTATACATGCATTTACACACTACAGACTTCACAAATACATACTAAAATATACCCTACCCAAAAATATTAAATGATCATAACCATTTCTCATAATTTTCATGCACAATACATTCATATGACACTTCACTAATGCTGTGTAGTAAGCTATGGAATTTTGAATAGCACTCAATGAAACTAATAGATTTTAATTCCACAATGGCAACTCTGCTGCTAAGTACATCTGACTATGACTAGAACTACGCTTAAATAAAATTCACGAACCAGAGTAGCCCCCTTCTTACTATGTGAAAAGACAATTCTTTCTTTTTCGCAGCCTGTTTCACTTGCATTTGTGCAGGTTGGCCTCTCTGTGACTTTTAGTGATGTTTATCAGCTTGGCTGCTTTTCAGAATGAACTGGTCGGCAAAAAATGTTCAAAACAGTAATTTTCCTGTCAAAAGTCATGAGACATTCTGATAGCAGAAACTGACATTAGGTAAATGAATATTATTTTTAGAAATTATTTACAAAATTAAATTTATTGAAATATAATCAATAAATGTAAGTTAAGATTTAGGTCTTCAAACAAAATATGCAGAATAATAAGATATTTGCAAAAATATAATGCTTATTAAGAAAAGAGGTGAAATATGCATCATAAAATCATGTTTCAATGATATGGAAATTTGGTGTTCCTTAATACCAAGTGAGCATTTTTTCTGGCTACATGGGAAAAATATGCAATTATATGAAAATCAAGTTCCTAAATATCACTGCCACTAACATTCTTCCCTAACTAACACAGGAAAAATACAGAACCCTTGAGCATAAAAACTCAGGAAAATAAAGAAATGTTGCAAAATATGTTGCAATCTGGATATGTTAGATCAATTCCATGACCAAAATTCTAGTGGTTTTACTTCATTAAAACTCAATTCATCTACGCCACATGCTGTCCAGTAGTGCTCAACAACTTCAACACTATGAAATCTAATTTAATTTAATCACCTATTTCTCTTCATATCTTCGGAAAAAATTGTATATTTGTCTTCAGGTACTGTACGATTTGAAAAAATAATGGCAACCAAATATACACAAGCTTCTTACACATTTAATGTTCAAGTGTAGTAGATAGAAGAAAAAGTGTGTTGGCTGGAGCTTATTTTAATTGCTGATGGTGACCCTCTGAAGTAATGGTGAGTAGATCATTTTGGTCTGATCAACTGAGATGTACACTTATTGTAATGCATAATTATCCTGTGGTTGACTTTCTTTCAACATTCATTTGAAATGCAAGAGAATTCTTTAATTGACACTGCACAGTGTGTCCATCATTAGTAAATTGTGAATTGAAATTTTAAGCAGAATTTTAACATGCCAACATTGCATGACCATATTTTGTACTAGTTTTATTTTCAATAAAATTTTGATATAAAATGCATATGATAATATTAGTCTAAAAATTGTATAAGCAAAGTAATGAACTAATGATTATTAAATGTGTGTGTGTGTGTGTATATATATATTATATATATACACACACATATATATATATTCACCTTCCATGCACTCTTTCTATAAGATTGCAATAATACAGCAGCATAATTGCTGTAAGTCAATGAACTTAAATACACATTGCTATGCAGGAGCCTTGCTGCAACAGACCCATGCATAACACCAGTCAGCACACTTTCCCTCCTACGCATGTAATGCGAAGGATCTTTCCTTGCTAGTAGCAGTACATGTTCCCTAGTAGGGAGTAAGCTTCCAATTCAAGCAAATCTGCAGGTGAAGCATGAATTTATTGATCATTTTTGGGTTGTACATTTTCTAGTTACTGTTCCCTTGGTACATTAAAACACAGAATTTTCCCGAATACACTATATGTAGTAGTAATAATACCATGCAATGTAGCAATAGTACATAATTATACCAGAGAACTTATTACACTTTTTTTGTTTTGATTTTTAATACAACTGAATGGTTACCTACAACCTCAGAAATATGAGTATGTTGGTGAACTCTGGAAGGCTAGTGTACTGCTTATTTAAGAAATATATCACTCATGTTCTGGCACCTAATATTCATCTTGAAAGACTAATGCATTTCCAAGAACAAAAATCAAATAAAACAATTCAATCTGAAAATTTGGCATACAATTTAATAATAAAAATAGGATTATTATAAAGAATATTTTCAAAGTTCCACATTATTATCTTGCCAACTGTTAATAAAATGTAGTCTGTTCAATGTTATATTGTAAAAGGAGGTAAGAATGCCTTCTATGCAAGCAAGTATGTGTTACATGATTATCACAATAACAATACAAGGAAGAGAGCAAGCTTCAACATCTTAATTGATATTTCAGCTGTGCCTACTTCCTAATATTTCATGTTGAAATTATTAGCCACTAGTGTGGATACATATTCACAATTTTTTTCTCTTCCATTTTCTAATTTCTTTCTTTCTTTTTTTTTTCTTTTTAAAAATACGAGTACCATCTATGCAACAGGAGTACAATCAGTTCCACAAAGTGCCTCCTGAGTATTACACCATTTGCCTCAAGAAGCAACAAAACCCTTAAGCGTAAGCTACCATTTTGACCCCACAATTCAAGCTGGAAGTAAATCAAAGTCATCACTAACATGCACCATTGGGACATGAAGTTCATCAATGACTGGTTTAGCTTTGAATTCACAAATAGTAAGTTCCCTTCATCTTCCATTCCCAGTCCATTTTCTGCACTGCATGCAAAGATTCTGCTTCATTATGGTGCCGAAGTAACATTGACTCTTTTATTTTTTCCCACTATCATCTACGTCCTGCAACCAACTTAGGAAGAGACGTCCATTGTACCTAGACCGAGCATTTCTGTCCTTCTCTTCCTGCTCTGGCGTTATCACATTGTAGACTTCTTCGTCTTTGAGGATGGTGCACACTGAAAAAGGAAGGGACTGATTTGCTAGGGCCCTTGCGCCTCTACCGTGAACCCTAAGAATTTCTTGCTCCACTGACAACACTAGTTTTCTCTTTTTTCTATTACATGTTGCATTTTCAATCTAAACCTTTCTTTCTCTTGGTCTTGATAAAGATCTTTCATGGAAGCCGGGACCGTAGCGGGCGGTGTCGTTTGAGGTGAAGACCTATGAGAGGCAGCGTTTTCAGCAAGAACATATGTACATCGATTCATGAGGTAATCTTTGAACCCTTGTGGTGGCTTTGGTTGTACAGGAAAAAGGCCCTTTCTGCGCTTTTCATCTGTTTCCGAATGTTGAGAAACAGCTGGTAGCAGTTGGTAATTGGTTGTTCATGTGGGTGAACCTCTGTAGCCGCACTTGTTGTTTCTGGAGTTTCAGAGGAAGATTTGACAGGGTGGTTGAGGAAGCAGCCGCTGCCGCAGCTGCCTGACTTTCTTTGTTCTGTTTCATCTTCCGTTTACGAGGATGCAATTCTACAGGTGCAGGTTGCATAGTTGATTGCTGCTGGGATTGTTGATTACTTTGCTCAGATGGTTCTGAACCTTTATCATCTGCAGACGATGTGGCACTGGAGTTTGGCACCAGAAGACTTTGAAGCGCTAGCGACAGAACTGGAGTCAGCTGAGGATGCAGGAGCGGAACCGGTAGGGGAAGGTGTATGCCTCTGTTGCGGAGAAGAGTTGTTTGATCCTCGGTCAGCAGCCGCGCTATTGGACGCAGGGGAAGGGGATGATCCTGTAGATGCAGAGGCCCACCGAATTGGATGAACCACTTGAGGATGAAACTGCTTGCGATCCACTACCACCTCCCGAAGCACCACCCCCTCCACCAGAACGATGGGAACTTCTTAAAAACTCTCTGATGGTGACTAGCCCGCTGCTCTTCGGCTGTACCCCAGAGCCATCCTTCTTATCTTCGTTCTTTCCACCAGATGAACTAGAACCTTCAGATTGTCCACTTTGTTGGCTGCTTTGACCACTCCCACTACCTCCATCTTTACCACCACTTTCCCCAGTATTGGAGGCAACGACGTATGGAAGGGCCTGGTGGTGTCGTGTAGCTCCATTTTTTCCATTGCGATTACCCTGCTCTTGCTCGATGGAGGAGCTTTGTTGAGGGATGACTATTTTCAAAGGTGGGACTTTTGGTCCCCCTGTCCATCCACTACTAGAATCGGATTCAGAATTACTACTCCTCCTTTTGATCCTCTATTATCTTTATCACCATCACTTTCATTCCCAACATTTCCAGACAGCTTTCCAGAAGCACTGTTAGGTTTTCGGGCTGTTACTAGCAGCTGCTGTTGCATTGTTGGGACTTTTCCTGTCAACACCCCTCCACCTTACCACCACTACCACCCCGTTTTTTAGAGTCGGCACTAGATTTTGGACACTTTCCACCACTGTTACCCTTTCTGCCACCTGAGAATCTTCCAGAAGAACCACCACCATTTCTTAGGGTTGTTCTTTTCCGGAATCTGAATCTTTGTGCTTCTTTCGTCTGTTTTCTTCATCACCTTCTTCGGTTTCATTTACTTCAGAAAATTTCTTTTTGACGATTGCTCTCCAGAACCATCTTGTCGTAAAGGACTATTTTCTTTTGTATCACCTGAATTTCCCGATCCTTCTTGTTTTTCTACATCTGGAGATGCACTAGACCCTCTCGACTGGGCGTGGCTTCCTTACTGCTTTTGAACTCGTACACATCATCACAAACCCGATTTCCCTTCCATCATTAACCAATATTTCTTCAAATTTACTCAAGATAACAATTATTTCACCTATGACAATATTCCCTGAACATATGCTCTGCAAAAACCCCAGCTACATACTTGAATGATTATTCAACCTACCAAAAAATTTAGAATCACATTAAAGAATACAACCAAAAATAGTCAAGACAATTCATTTATTATGATAGATAAAGGACCTCAGAAACAGAATAGTAAAATTATCATTGAATATGTAGATTATTAAAGATACAATAAAAAATATCCTGTAGAAAAAAATTGTTTACATAAGTTTGAACGTAGCGAAGTTAATGGAAAGTAATTTCAATACGCCGACGCTGCTCGCTGAGTCGGCAGAAGGTTGAAGCGTTTCTTGATGGTGATTCTTTCTCGGGAGTATGTGTCTGCTGGCGAGAAGCGAGCTGGAAAAACCACAAGAATTACGTCACTCTTTTATACGCACTAATGCACTGCACTTCAGAAACAATTAAATCGCGAGAATAAACTACAAAAGTGCACAGAAATTCTCAAAAAAAATCCTTTTTCTACGCCTTCCACCGCTTGTTACCGCCGTGTAATTACGTTACATTACTTCTAACATGGACGACTCGCTTGCGTTTTTAAGCCTACTGATGGAGGCCGCATATGGATTTATTGTACAGGATAATTAAGGAAGGAACGACTGCCTATGAAATACAATATCTTAAATCGTATATTTGATCACCATTACCCAATAATTGGGAAAGCTTCGACATACATACCTGGGTGAGCACAAATTGTAGGCTTTCCGTTCGGGTCAATAGGCTGTAAAAAAAACAAAGAATTTCTTCAGAGGTCATTGCAAAGATATTATCATACTTCATATTTTCATATTTGAAGTTCAAAACCTTTCTTATCATATAGAGAATAAATGAAAATTTACGGACATAAACCACATGTAATCAGCAAACTTTACAGAACTTCCTTCCGATACTCGAGCAAACATTGCACTACAGTATTTGAAATAATTTACTTACCTTTAAAGTGTACACCCGCTCCCCTTTTGCATCCAAGTAATATCGCAAGAACATGATTAGAATATGCAATTCAATCTGTTCTTTGCTAATAAATATTACAACACGTGCAAAGAATGTTAGAACTGGTTAGAACGATTATCACTACAGCCAAATCCGGAGGAAAACAACAAATACTGTAATACGTGAACCAAACACGTACCGTAATTCCTGAAAGAAGCGTCGATGACTCATGTTTAAAAACAAAAGAAGAAAATCAATGTTTTCGTGTATAAATACTACAATAAATTTATTTACAAATAAATAACAGATATGTTGAGAAATTTAATTACATTTCTGAGAGATTTCTTGAAAAAATGTGATTTGACTTACCTAGTAAGCGCTAAAAGGCAGGGAGGGGGCAGAGAGTATATGGAGGGGGTAGAGGACAGTCCATGCCCGATGGCAAGGCTAAATTCCTGTGTTAATGAATTCGGGTGAAAGACCGTAAAATTCATTAATTAAGAAAGTATGTACTTCCTCTAATGATAAATACGGCAGTTCCGTACCAAAAATTAATGTAGAATTCCTAATTATTTTTGTTTATTTCTTCATGAATTGGGGAATTCAATATAAAAATCAAATAATCTTGAATATTCTTTTCTTTATTTGTTGTCATATAAGGATATTGTATTACAAAAATATACTACAAACATACAATCCACGTTGTTTACATACAATCTTCAATGTAGACACAACTATACAAAAATAAAAAAAGATTCTGAACGCAACAATATCAAACATTCATATCACTATGATTGTGCTTGAAATAATTATACTGGCCAAGGTTTTAGGAGATGCATGTATTGCTTTCATATTCTTTATCATCACAGGACAGCATTGACTTACCTGAAACAAACAAACAAAGCTCTCTATAATTTATTGTACACATCATTTAAGTCAACACAATATCAAACAAATTTTGTTAAGAGCATAATTTGCTCTCTGACAGTATTGTTTTCATAAAAATGTTTTGACGAGTACACATTATTGTTCCTAAAAATTTCAGTTACATTTTATACAGAATGTAGGTAATTAATAACATCAAATATATTTTATATATAAGACTATTTAAAAGGCTGTTCAAATTGCCACCTGGTTCATGAAGACAAGAATCTTCTGAATTTTAGATTTCCAGCATATTAATGGTATGATTTGTGATCTATACATTTTACTTCATTTAACTTATAAAATATGTAACTCATTTTATTACCCATGATTTATTACATAGTAACATTATGCAAACAGGCAAACGTAAAACTTACAAATGGGACAGACTAGGTAGTATGGCTGTTTTGGTATAATTAAATAAAATATGAAGTTAATTTTTAAAATGTCAAAACTAATGTAAAGACATTAACTTTTAGTAAAACGTGTTGTACTTATTGTTTGTATAATATGTGTAGAATAATATGAAATTGTTTCAATTTCAAAGAGATTATGTGGAATCAAATCACTGTTAAAAACATATACAATGCATAATCATGTTTTGTTATGCAAATGCTAACAGTGCCTAAAAATTAGAAAACATGACTTTTATTTAACTTTGCTCCACTTTAATGAAACAAAACACTAAACAGAATGTCAGCATAGCATGTTTTTGCCTTTACATGAATTAGAACTCTATCAAACAATGTTTCTTGTACATTGATAATGAGTAAAATAATGAACTATAATCCAATGTAATGACAGAAAAAAATCAATTATCTGAGGTCTAATTAATCGACATCGAATTTTGATCAAAATCATTCAAATAAACATCCCTTCAAACTTAGTTTTTATGTTAAATAATTTTTAAAAAAATTTAATTTATGCATATGAGAATGAAAGATTTAAGGGCTTGAGTAGTCAGGAGGTTGCCAGGACAAGATGTTAACTATTAAATAGTTTCTATGAAACCAATTTGAAACTTCTGAATTTATTGTTTCTAATGGACAAGGGCAAATCGTTGACTAATAAAAGAAAGAGGGTAGGGCTTAAAATTAAACCCTGAGTCTCCCATGTTCAATTTTCAAAGAATTAGAAAAATGAGTAAATAATGTTCCTTTGTGCCAATAAGGTATTTCTACTCTTTGCAAATCTTTGTTTAACGTACAAGAATATCCACTCTAGGGCAATACCATGAAATCCATATGGAGGTAATTTTGAGAGAAAATGTTACAGTTAATGACGTCAAAAACTTTCGAAAGATCTACAAATGTTCCAATAGGTGCTTCATTTTGATCATTTGTTGAAGGAACATCTTTAAGGAAAGAAAAAATGTCATTTTCTGTAGGTTTTGATTTTCTAAATCCATTTTGAATGTCTGAAAACACTTAACTTTTCGTGATAAGAGTATCCATTCATATATGAAAAAGCCTCTTTAATATTTTTGAGAAAACTGATGAAAGAGATATTGGAATTTAATTTTGATTTAATATTGAAAACATGAGTTAATGGGTGTATAAAGGCACGTATTCATGTTTTTAATAAAAATAATTTGGAACTTCAAATAAACCAGCCAAATATATATATATTTTTTTATTTCACTGACTATTCTGAGAATTTCACTGGAATATGTTTCATCAACAAACATCATGTCAAAATTTGTTTGAGAAATGTATGGTGTTAAATTTTGTGATTTTAATCCCTTCATGAGATCAACTACTTATGACAAAAAGTGTAAGTTAGAACAGACTTGAAACTTTTACCTGATTGCCAACTTCTCTGACATTATCCTTTAAAATAACATTTTTCTACAAAATATTGAGTTGATGTGGTTGTATTTTTTATGATATTCCATACAGCTTCAGTTTTGTTATTAGCGTACAAAATATCCTGATCTTTTTGAATTATTTTTGGCCTTCCAGTTAAGTTTCCTTAAAATGCTTCTGTATTTTTAAAAGTAGACAAATAAACATGGTGATACATTATGATATTTAGAAATAAATAGTATGCTTGTTTTTAAACAATGTTTTAATTTATAGTATTATTCAAGTATTGCTTTTCTGTTAAATGTTTAATTTTCTCTTTTTTTTTTCAAGGAAAGCACATGTTAAAATGAAATTAGTTTTGAGAAAAATAAATTATATTTTTTGTTTGTGGCAACAGCGTTATACACTGCATCCTGTGATTCCTGCAGCAAGTAGATTGTAAATAATTCTATTTGAGAAAAGATGTTAACTCAACAATGTTAAAAGGAACTTTGGAGTGTGATAATGATTGACATCAGGGAGATGGAATAAGCTCTTAAACAATAACACTTCTCAACTACAAGCTTCTCCAATAACAGTTCTGAAGGAGAAATATTTTTACAACAATGAATGAATACAGACTCAATTCAAATTAGACTAAAAATAGCTCTAAAAAGGTTTGCAATAATCCAATAATACTGCTTATGACAAAGTATTGTCTACTCATTTTGCATAAAATTCAAATTACACAAACACATGCTAACATATCAAGTAATTGTATAACAAAGTAGAAACTTTTTGTAGGAAAGGAGGAATTACTGAAGGAACGTTTTTATTGTACTCATATAACAATTAGCACAAAAGTATAAAACATTCATAGAATATATGTAGTTATACATCATACATAAGAATATTTAGCAATAAAATCTCCAGGGTAGCTTGATAAAATATGTTTCTACATGTCAATTAGGAAATCATCTTCTAAATCATGCCCCTGTGTTCAAAATGTGAGCAATACATGATTTTGCTTTTGATTTGGCTTCAGTACTTTGTTGTAGAGAAAGATGAGGATGTTAAATGTAAAATGTACCATCATATATGTACTGTCTATCCTTAGGCTTTGTTCTCACTAAGAACTTATGTATTTACATCATCAGGAGAAGTGGAAGATGCGTTGGGAAACTCTGATTTTAAGTTATTTAAGATGGCTATTGTGTACAGTTTCCTTATTCAGGGAGTGCAATATTAAAGTTGTCGATGTCAGTTGTCGATGATGGTCTCTATAGTAGAGGAGGCATTGACACTTTTTGAAAGCTATGCACTTGCCAATCTATATGTATAGTTATATTCAATTTAATGAAAACATTTATACTTCACTTTCATCTAAATACCAATAGTAAATGTCCTTATAAAGATAAATTCTGTATTCTGTAAGAGAATATTCTTTTGAATATTGTAATGTCTCCAAATTACTAGTAGGAAGTGTATACACTAGAGTGTAACACTCTGAAGTCTAACAGATTTTGTGTTTGAACATGCCATTTAGTAGTTTGGTCACATCCTCCCATTTGGAATTGAAGTGATATCTTACAACTCATGTAGACCAGACATTCCAATAAAAGATTTTCTTTTTCTAATTCACTATTAAGTTCAATAACAGTTTAATATAACATATTCCTGTGAGTCATTTTACTCATCAAATCCTCCTTCCTAATTGAACGTAACTCACTCAGAGTTCTAAAGTGACATCTGACACATGCTTAATGTACACAGCTTCTGGCAGGGTCTCAACACATTGCATCAGATGATGAATATTATTGAATTGTGCATTTTTGGTCACATGATAATTTTAAAGTTCTGTTATTTTGCAACATACATATTCTGACACACAAAAATGACACAATGGTCTTACTATCATAAGATTTTACGTTTAATGTAATTCAAATTGTAATTCAAAAAATAATAAAATAACTTTTTTATAGGGAATTTATTTGATAATTTCTAAGGCCACTTCTTTCAAAAACTTGATTGTTTAACCTCACACATTCAAAAAGAGGGGTTAGAAATGTGCTTCACACAGTATATTACCTTTCTGTGATCTTGTTTCTATGTAACAGTCTAATGTCATAATCCAAATAATATTTTGAATGATTTGAATTATTTTTAAAAGTTTAAATGTTTTCTTTTAGGACAGAGATGCACCCAAGATTTTTCTTTGAGAGGGCTGCAGATAGTGTTCAGCCAACTTGATGTTTTTTTTATAAAGAATTTTTCAAACTTGGGGGCTTCTGCTTGTTGTTGTTGCGATATAGAGAGGAGGGCGTGGATTGCATCTGTAATGATCTGTGAAGTCAGCGTCTGTTGAGTATTCTTCGTCATTGTGGCACGTTGTGGTGAAGCAAACTCAGTCAGCAGGGTTTTCATCGAGTATAAAATGTATTTTTATTTCTTAATTTTGTGTGTATAATGTTACGTTTCCCAACTGCTACTCTGGGTAATGCTTTCTCCCAGGGGACTGAGAGT